ACTCCGTCTTTCGGCATGAGCTGATATCACCAAGCTCTCTATGTGTTTCAATGATATTTAAACCATCAATATCGACTATGATAATAAACAAATAACTCCATTAGCAATTATTTAACGAACACGTAATGGTACATATTTGCATATTCCTTCTTCGGGAGGAAAAATACATAGTCAACTCAATCATTCAACATGCATTCCTTCTTTAGGAGGAAAAACACTCAGTAAATAATATTCAAGTCATACAAAGACTTTAGTAGTTTAATGATACACGTTGCGATTTTCACTTTCCACATTCCAAAAGTGTTGAATCCATCGGGGATTTACAAATAAATATTAGCGTCTAATGACCAGTAAATTACGGTCATGACGTTCATCAACTGCATATCTAAATTCATAATTCACTGCCAATAATGTTAATTTGCGGAACGTAATGCCATATGTTGTGGGAGAGAATATTTGATCAAAATCAATTCAGGGTCTCTGCGTAAACCCTTAAGCTACCAGTCTCGCTTTATATCATACCACCATATTGTTTGTATTTCTCTTTCGTACAAACACTCATTTGTAACCTACAGGGTTAACATTAAATGGTGTAGTGTTATAAAGAGAATACAGTTTTAGTGAGCTGAGCTGTACATGCCTTAATTGCTCTTTTATACGTTAAAAAAATCAGGGCACTACTGGTGCCTAGCTTTGGATCCAGATTCTCATATATTGAGAGCAATTTATAAGGCAATTGTGTTGTCGACAACTATAACATTTTTCATAAATTTCTCCCATAAAATAATGGCGATTTCTAATTCAACCAGACTCTAGCCATTTCCCAAAGATATTTTTATCTGGTCGTTCCGCATCCCCAGTATTATGATTCTGGGTGCACCTATAAATTTACTGGGATTTTTCGCCTTCTGGACAAATGTCTTCGAAACATACTTCTTTTAAGCTATTTCAAGAGTGACACCATTTTCTACTAGATTTAGCTTTCCGCGGATTATACCAACATGTCCCTACGCTTCTGGCGTCAAGGAGCATTGGTAGATACATATGGTCCAAGTTGGGGAAGATATATAGGACATAGTCACTCTTTTATGATCAATATATATATTGGCAGATTAATTATCTTCTGAACTTCCAGTTCAGTTTACTTCTTCTGAACTTCTAGTTCAGTCTACCTAGTACGTGGATTTAAATATTGAAGATCAATCATTCATAGAATTTCTCGGCATTCGATAAAATTTGAGATCTTATCTCCCCCTAATGCCGTGAAATGATCTTCATAAAGTGTGCAATCAGCGTACCTAATTATATATTGATCCCTTATCATGGGCTCTAAGAATTTAAATAACAGACGGATGTTTATAATCAATATATACATGCCCACAAAGGTACTCTATGGTGGTGATATAGGAAAAAGACTGCACACTGTGAATAAAACGCAGATGGGAAATGTTTGGTTTTATACCACGTACTAGGTTCTAGGGGGAATAATTATGATATGCAGTAGGTGAGATTGTGATAACCACAATAGCATATAAAACTGATGTCCCCAACAAGAAAATATATAATCTCCCAAGGCGACGCACTATAGCTCATGCCATACTATAAAATAATATGGGTCTTTAAAGCCTTTAAAAATGTATCGCAACATATGAAGTACCCAAAACATATATGTAATCATCTAAGAGTAACATATATAACCAGATATGAAAGCGTACATATCAAATGATATTATAAGGGTACACAACAATCATAAGGAAGTTAGAAGCTTGTCAAATAAAATAGATCTTCAAGATCTCCCAAAAATCCTTATCCTGAACTTTACATTAGGTCACTCACTGGTTTGGGAATTTTTTCGTGCAAATTCACATGATATAATTCACTTCCTCATTTGCATCAGGCAAACTAATATGAAATAATTTATTCCTTCGTTTGCTTCAGGCAAATTGATATGATATAATTCATTTCTATCTTCCAAACCAATAACATCTAAATCAATCATATCATGTATGACAATAAGTCAAAGATCATTTTTATAAAGGAGTATACAAATCCCTAAACAACACAGAATTGCACTAAGTCATATTCTGAGAGAATTTAGTCATGTTGACATCATAAATTTAGTCAAAAGAAGATTCTCATAATTTGTTGATAATAGCAATCCTTCCGGGATTGACAATAATTCAATCTTGAATTAGCAACCAGTCAATTTCATATGAGAGTCATGTTGCATGCATGAGAAAAAAATTCCATAAATAAGCATGCAAACTAATAGAATTAATTCTGAGAAGTAAACTTCCTCTGAAAAATAAAGTTCCAGAAAGTAAAAATTCAAGAAGTAAATCGAGAAGTAAGATTACAGAGGTAAGCTAAGAGATGTAAGCTTAGAGAGGTAAACTTTTTGAATAGTCAATTCGAGTAGTAAAAACACCAAGAAAAATCAGCAAAGTAAAGCCACTTTTCACTCATAATAATTTGCCTCCAAAAAAAATAACTTTGCACTCAAAAACACATTTGGAGTGTATATACTACTCGGTTACGCAATAAGTTATTGCGGCAATGAATTAACTTTTCGGGTGCTTCAGGCATAAGTTAACTTCTCGGATGCTTCATGCTTCAGGCATGAGCTAGCTAACCTTTTTATCCATGAATATATTTTCATGAATTACTCAAACATTATCATGACACCAATCATTTCTTCATCAATACCTCATCATTTCATTATCATCATTTATCACAGTATTTGCTTCAGGAAAATTACCTAAAAATCATCAAGATGAGGTACATTCTTCGATGACCAAATGCTTTGGCTAGAATTTTGCTTCGATGAATTTGGTTGTCCTTAATTATATTGATCATTTTGCTTCTTATTATTTTGATCTCGAAACTCATACCACACTAGTCATAATCTCGACTGCAACCCCTTATAAAGTTACTCAACTGGGCAACATTATGTGCTTCAGGCACCAGTGCGAGACAACCATACTTGCATTATGATTCTTCATCAACAAATGGTTGTGTTTCTTAGCCACAAGGGGTGCTAAAAATCAGCTTATAATGTTTCTCATAATTTGCTATCATATACTACTGCTGGAGTACAAAATTACTTTGATGAAAAGTTGGCAATGTCTTTTCAATTAAATATTCCTCTAAAACTTCTTGTTTAGAGTTTCACTTTTGAGACTATTTTGTGCATAGCTGAATTATAGTTAATCACTGACTTACATTATAATCTCAAAATTAATTATGAGATTAAACTAGTCAAAATATGTCTGAAGAAGAACATTTGATGACTTCTTGTCGGGATAGTCCTTCAGGGACTTCCATCAATTCAAGGGGTTCTTTTTCAATCAGATACTCATTTTTTAAGGTTGTGGTTCAAGTGGTGACGTATGAAAATGAGAGCTTGTGCCTTCTAGGCATCGGTGCTCTGTGACTTAGCAACAAAAAACTTGGCTCAATTCTTTAGATGCCGAATATATTTCAATATTAAGAGCTCAAGATAAATAATTGCTTCATTCATAAGTGAGCTTAATAAATTTACATTTTCAATGAAAGGCATGATCTACAAGATCATCATTTGATGCAACTTATACTTACAGAAACAGTAGTTGATATTCATATGAAAAACATGTCTTGTAAGCAAATTTCAAATAGAATGTGAAAAGGGAATATTTCACATGTTCTCATACAGATTCATATCTCTCCATGTAGTCAGTTTATATATATATATATATTTTCAAAAGAAGCATAAATGCCAAAAATGGGGAATAGTACATAATCAATCTACATGATCAATATAGTAAATATTATCTTTTCCTAAGGCATGAAGTCATTTTAAGTGAATATAGTAAATTCCAATAATGGAGAATAGTGCAAGAATCATTGTTTCCCTGGTAAATATCAAACATGTGTATATTTAACCCATATATATATATATATATATATATATATATATATATATATATATATATATATATATATATATATATATATATATATATATATATATATATATAGATGAACACATTTACATTTGCACGTACATACATACAATTTAACATATAACCACATGTATTTACCATTTCAAAGCATCATGGCATATGTAGAACCTAACTCATATACATGAATTGAGAGAATAAATAAAAATAATATGTATTTACAAATTCATGTATTTACCCAAATTCTTAACAATGTCTTGATGAGAGGTTCATCACTCAAAAGTTGTTAACAAATATGAAGAATTATCACTCATTTCATAGAAACAATAATTGAAGGTTCCAAACCAAACTCATAGCCATATATACACATAATATTTATATATAAACAATGGCATATGATTCAAAAACAAAAGTGCATAGTAAAAATGAACCAATAGTACCGTTCACCGGAGATTACAATAGAGACTCGTGCTGATAACGTGTTGTAGTTTGGCCTATCAACTAGCTCAGTTCTCACGTGATGTTTGCACGGTAACTCGCCCGGAGGTTCATATATATGTATGCATGTATACGTAAAGAAGAAAAAAAAAAAGAGAAGAAGAGGAAGAACACCAAATGTAGGGCACAACAATATGTATGTCATTTCATTAGCCTTCACTCCATTATATAAGGTTTCATACAACCTTTCACATACTCAACATCAATACATGATTAAAGGCTAGGCTATTGAAAGGTCTAATGGTTTAATGGCCACTAATAAAATATTTATAACAATTTTTAAATTAAACATTTGAATTACATTAATGATTACTGAGTAATTTGTATGTCACTCCTTCCAATTGCATGATGATCTAAAAATACAAATGATATATCTCTCTTAAATACATGCACCAAACATGAATTAATAATTTAGAAATTATTAATGAAAAAAAAAATATTGAATCAAATGATGGGACAAAAGGTCAAAATAAAAAACGAAAAACCTTTTTGTGGGGCCGTTTCAAAATTAGATTATACGAAAGCTGTGGTAGCAGAAACAAACTCTTCTTAAATGGTAGAAAATGACAGCCAAACGAACTGCTAACAAATTAAAGGAAATGAGTAACAGAAATTAACCAGTTCTCTTTGGATTAAAAACTTATCACTACTCCAAAAATGATTATTACTTACAGAAAAAGCTTAACTTTAAAATCAAAAATAGAATTGTACAGTGAACTTGACCCTTCGCCGGTCTCTGTCCAATATCTCCTTAACCATTAATTGCTGGACTTATGGGTTACTGACCTCCGCCCAACTTGTTCAATCCGTTACACATGCCAAAAAGTCGCCGACGGATAATTTTTGGGCTACTATAGCGCTTGTGATTACATGGTACCCTGGCCATTTCACCCGACCACTTATTTGAGCACCATCGCCTGTGTTCATATACTCCCCATAGTACAAGGTTTGTGCAACATTCTCAATCCACGGAAACCACCCATCTGGGTCAATTAAACTGTCAAGTGTACACGTTAAAAACACCGTCCTCGAATACTTTTCCCATGGCCTACCCAAATAAGTTGGGAACGAGCTCTCCACCGCTCTCAAGTCCTCGGTTGCAGTCACATGGGAATTGTGGATTACAATTCCGGTGTTTTGGTTAGGGTCACTCCTCCCTTGGGCCGTGACAAAGTTTTTCTGGCTGGTCATAGGTTTCCTCACGTAAATGGTGCAATTTTGCAACACGGCGATGGCGTCGCCAAATATGAAGTCCACCGTCCCATATATGTCACAATGCGCATAGAATTGTCGCTGAGAATAGACGTAGAGTGTGTCCTGATAGCCCTTGAAGCTGCATCGGTAAAAAACCGAGAAATCCGAGCCGGAACGAAGCGCCACCGCTTGGTGGTTCTCAGGCCCGGCGGTGTTCTCGAATGTTATCTCTCGTGCCATAAAACCATCTCCTATCACGGCTGCCAGACATATGAAATTAGGCTAAAATGTTAATTTCATTATGATTTGAGATAAATTGATACATTTACCAATTAATTTTCAATTATAATCATTATTTTCTTTCAACTCAAGAACATGCAGTAAAAGTAAGATCAGACTCACCTAAAGTGGCGGAATGGAAAGTTGTATAGCCATCCCCAATGCTTCTATTGCCTGTTATAATAGTAGCATCGATCCCATCTCCCACCAGCATAAAATTATTCATCGAATCCGTAACCACCACATTTTCCTCATAAACGCCTTTTTTCACATATATCACAAATCTACCACCGCCACTACTAAGCGCCGCCGCCGCGGCCAAGGCTTCAGAAACCGTCTCGTAATTGCCCGACCCATCCTGCGCCACCACGATATCGGCGCTACTCTTCGCAACATTAGGCCGTAGGAGCCTTCTCTCGGACCTCGAAAGCCAAATCGGAAATCCCACGGCCAGAGAACCCCGCCCATTGACGGTGGGAGGAAGTGACGGCGGCGGCGGAGATAAAGCAAGTGCGTTGATTATGGCAAGCGAGTTGCTAAGGTGCTTTAAAAGGTCAGTTGCTATGTCATGAAAAGGGTGGAAATTGAAGGGTAATTGGAAATCTGTGAAGCCGTTCTGGCACGTTTGGTGGTTGGTGATGGCGGCGCTTAGCCACGTTTGAGCGTCGTTGGTGGTGGTGGTGGCGGCGGCGGCACGGCGGACTTTGTAGAGCGTGTCTTCGTAGAGGTTGACGCAATCGGCCCAGGCTAAATTGGCTAGTTGGTTGAATGGGAATGGGGTGGTGCCCATAGCAGATATATGGTCATGGGCACTTTGAGCGCGAGCTAGTGTTGCGCCGAGGGCCAAATTCCGAACGGTGGAGCTATTTTGTAGTTTATGGACAACAAAGAGAGACTCGCAAAGTTGAGGGTATGGAGTTTGGGTACATAGTGATGATGGGTGGTCAGTATGGGCTGCATTTGAGAAAGCAAAGCAGATGGTTATAATCAAGAAGGAAAGAATGGTATCTGTGCCCATGGAAGAAGGAATTCAAATTGTTGATCGATCGGAGTGCAATGTTTGCCAAGTAGCTAGTTAAATAAGTAAACGTTGAGCTAGCCTAAACAAATGAGGGGAGGCGGCAGTTTGTATGGAAAAAATGTCTAACTATAATGAAAAGTCCTAATTGGATCCTTTATGCGCACATGAAGAGGAGGGTTCGATAAATGATAAATTATTGTGTAGATCATAGTCCATACAATTGTGTGGATCATGAATATCAGGTATATTTTTAATATATTAAAAGTACATTATTTTTGTACTGAAAATACATTATATAAAATAATGTACTCTTAGTATATTAAAAATGTACTTTAAAAAAATGTACCTCACGTACATAAATAATGTACCCTTAGTATATTAAAAATGTATTTTTTGTTTATTGTCTGTAAATTTAGGATCTCAATTAATGCCCTCGAACTCATAACCTCTCATATGGGAGTGCAACTTTGATGCCATTAGACCACAAGTTCTTGGCAAGTTAAAATAAAATAAATAAGTTTTGAATTGTTAGTCATAGGCCATGTTTGGTAAAATAGTTAGCCTATAGGTCAATTTTGCCTTATTTAATCACTATTAACTTTTTGATTTGGTTAAAAATCAATATAAGTGTTTGGTTAATTAGTCTTTTGTAACTCCAAAATGCTAAAATTCAAAAAGGTATTCAAAGCAACTTTTTCAATTAACGTTTTGAGAAAGGAAATTATAGCAAACATCTATCAGCTGAGAACTAATTTACTAAATACCTTTCTACAATCATCTAATGTTATCAACTAATTGTACCATCTAATTAACCCAATCAACTAACAGTTAATAACCATTTACCAAATAGGGCCTTAATTAATTTGCATATGGTGGAATATATATATGGTTCAAGGAAAGTTTTAGAATTGGAGGAATAAAGAAAAGAAGAAATAATGGCACCAAGGTTGCACTCCCATATGGGAAGTTGTGGGTTCGAGCCTCAGTAGAAGCGGCATTGGCTCTTTGTGCTTCAGTAGGTTGAGAAAATAGTTATGAATAGATACTACATTGTAATAGAGTCAGTAGCATTCAAAAAAATAAAAAGAAAGAAAAATGAGACAAAAATAGAAAGCGTGATGGAGAAATGTAGAAAAAGAAAATTAGATTAATAAGACGAAAGCCAAAAAACAAAAATAAAAATCAAAGAAGCCAGTAGATATCTTATTAAATAAAATTTTTGTACATATATTTTTGAATAATACTGACTCTATTATTACAATGTAATATCTGTTCAAAACTACTTATTCTCTCCACTAAAGATCGAACATATGACTTTCATGACTTCCCATTTAAAAGAATCACTCCGTGCAACTAAATTACAAAGTTATTGACAAATTTTTCGTACATATATTATGGCACTGGTAGTGTAATTTTGTCGTTTAATTTGTTATAAAAATTCTATTTTATAGTGTTAATTCAATTATGGTATGTTACAACGAACAATAAAAACCTTTAGTTATCCATCATGCAAACCATAAAATAAAGAAACACACTAAATATTGTTAGTATAGGAGTTGTTATGAAGAGAAACGCGTCCACATAACAACTGCTAATTGAATCTCACTTTAAAGAAGAGAAACGCGTGGAATCGGAATATATTGCGGGCATGGACCACGTACCAGAAATTAAATTTCATTAAATGTACATAATTATAATACTTTATGTCCCCAATCTGTGATACATCCATCTTGTATGCATCTGATATTTGCGTACAAAACTGTTAAAACCTAGAATCCTAATAAACTTCCATGAAATTTAATTTCAGGTGGTCCATGCATTATATACCGACGCATTTCTCTTATTTAATAGGAGATTCAATTTGCATGTGTTATGTGGACTAGTATTTGTCAGGCAAAGGAATGTTTGGCCGATCTTCTGTCTTTCCACCCTACAATCTAATCTAACTACAGGTACATGAAATACATACATACATAGGCTTGTGTTGAAATAAGAATCACTCTTTAAGTGATAATGAACCTGCAAATTACTGCATTAATACACAAAATCTATTCCATGAACGTACACAACCTGTCCTTGGAATAAATTGTGTACATTCGTATAGGTCTTGTTTGGCAAAAAATTAGCCTATAGACTAATTTTAACTTATTTGACCACTATTAATTGTTTGATTTAGTTAAAATATCAATATAAATATTTCGTTAATTAGCTTTTTGTAACTTCAAAAGGCTAAAATTAAAAACGTTACTCTAAGCAACTTTTTCAATTAGCTTTTTAAGAAAAGAAATTATACCAAACAGTTATAAGCTAACAGCTAAGTTACCAAACACTTTTCTACAATCAACTAATGTTATCAACTATTTATACCCTCTAATTAAAAACTATTAGCTAACAGCTAACAACTATCAGCTAACAGTCATTTTACCAAACAGGGTCATAGTAAATTGTGTACATTCATGCATGAAGGTTCATAGGTTTCACATAAGACATAATTCCAGGGACACACACACGAGAACTTGTTTGTAGCAAAACGATTTTAACTAGAGTATATACAATGAAAAATGTAACACCCCGTGTTACGATCCCTAAAATCAATTAAATCATTTAACCAATCACCCAAAAGAAAGAATTAAATCACAATAATTAATTAGGAAAGGCCCACCATAGCCCACGGGTCCTTATCCCTAAACCCAATCCTTAGTCCCAAAAGGAATAGAATTAGCAACCCTACAATATTAGTTCCTAATTAGGACTCCTAAATATATAAATAGGGGACTTAAGAGGCACCTAGAAACCCCCCCACCACAATAAACGTCTCACCACCCAAAGAGCTCCAAGAATTCCCTTAGAAGAAATCAAGAAAGCAAGAAAGCTTAAAGAAAGACCCTTCATAGCCAAGGAATTAATTAAGGCTAAGAGGTAGCCCATGTCTCAACAAAACCTATTTTCATAGCTATGATTCCCCTCTTAGGATTTCCCCATATTATTGTGTATTGATGTTTTATTATTTTTGATGATTGGCGGATTGATTCCATGGGTGATCTTGATGATGAGAGGTTCTTGATAATTATGGGGTTCTTGATGATTATATAACGTTCTTGATAATTATATGGTGTTCTTGATGTTCTTAATGATTATATGAGGTTCTTGATAGTTATATGATATTCCTACCGAATCTTGATTTTGGAAGATGAATTGTGTTCTTGTTGATTTAAAAATAATTAGAACCCTAGGTTATATCGTGGAATCCGTATGGTATTACTCTTGGTATATTGGGTGGGAATTCGCATGATTGGGTGTTGGTTATATTTAGAAAAGCATGATAGGTTATGTGCCATATGTTTCTTGATTTTGATTCGTTAATTGTCTACGTGTGTTATCAATTGCGTTTAAAAGTGTCTAAGCATGGTTTCGGGTTCCACAGAGGTTCCCGGGGCGTTTTTTGTGAAGAAGAGTCAGTGGGGGGTAGGGGACCCGCCACCTACCCACGGCCAAGTTGGGCAACGCCGGCAGCGGGCAGATGCCCGCCGGGCACCCGCTGCCCGGAATAGTAGAACGCCGGCGGGCAGCCGGCGGATGACCCCTCACCCACCGGCTACCCGCTGGTTTGTACCCCACTTCGGGATCCCGGCTTCCCCGTTTGATGTTCCCCCGACCCCCGTGGTGTCCCAACGGACTCCGTCTATCGTGCCTATGTCTAGTTTGATTTTCGGGTACCATTCGTAGGTCGTATGAGTCTTATATATTGCATGCTAGTGAATTCGTATCCCGTTGACCTAGGTGAAAGAAGCATGAACCCCCCTAGGAATATTCTTAGTATGTGAAGAATCACGCATAGGTTTTGTTATACGTTATCTCCCCCTTCCCATTGTGTTATTGTGGGTTGCATGTGCTTGCTATGTGTTATGTGTGCATGTTACCCCGATTTGGTTGAGATCAATCGGGTTATACGGGCAGTCGGGTGGGCTGAGAACCATACCGGCTGTTAACCAGGCTGGTAGAGACCGGTCAGGTATATAAATATTATATAGGACTGAGGTCCACTATACGGGCAGTTGAATGGGTTGAGAACCATCCCAACTGTTAACCAGGCTGGTAGAGACCAGTAAGGTATATAAATATTATATAGGACAAAGGTCCACTATACGGGCAGTTGAATGGGTTGAGAACCATCCCACTTTTAACCAGGCTAGTAAAGACCGGTCAGGTATATAAATATTATATAGAGCTGCGGTTCATCGGTCCGTTGCGATCGACCCCTCCGTATTGTGAGACGGGGCAGGGTGCTGCGTGGCCGTGTCAGAGCTATATGTGCTGACCCTCATGTATGGGCATGCGATTGGTCCTGTGGCGCCAACAAAGTGTGCCATGTGAAGAGATGTGAAGAATTGATGATATGACTGTTATGGAAACGTGACCATAGGGCTCTTTCTAGTAATGCTTAATTGTGATTATTGGTTGTGCTTATCTATAACTGTGCCCTATGTGAGAATTGTATATGCTTGATTATGACTGTTGATTGTGTGTACTCCTATTTGTCGAGTCAGTTCCCTGATTTGAAAGCTAGAGTCTCTTAGGATATATCTTCACGCTTCGAAATGACTTTTCGTATATCTATATATATAACTATATGTATTGTATTTCAACGCGTTGGAGTGGGTTACCAGCATCTCTCGCTGAACAGATATATTTGGCTTTCAGGCACAGAAGAATAAGTCACTGGAGCGCGTTAGAATTTGGAGCGTAGAAGTAGATAGTTTCCCTTTCGGCCTGCGTGCCATGTCTATGCATTTACATTATTGAGGATATTAGTTAGTTAGCCTGTGCACCCGAGTTCTCTAGCTCAGGTGTGGCATAGCACCCCGTACTTTTGTATTATGTTGGAGATTTAATGAGATTTCACCTTTATTTTATAAGTTTTAAATGTCTTGAAAATCTGGGGTGTTACAAAAAATGCAGTGTCATTTTAATAAGTACGGAATAACTCAAACTTTAAAGTGTAATTTGTAACAACATACTCTAATTCAATAATGATAGAGAATGGAATCAATTCAAGACCACACGAGAGATATACTCAATGACACAACAATATA